TACTCCCAATAAGTACTTTACACAAACTCTTTTTAAAGTCCCACTTTATGTAGCACCAATTCTTAAGTAGGACAAAGGTCAAAGTTAATGCAGGTTAGAAAGCACAGCAAATCACTGTGATGATGTTTTTCAGCAGACTGTCAGAGGTTAAAAGCAACACTCCCTCCAAAACCCAAACAGCACAATGACAAGCAATTATAGAAAAGTCTGGATCTCTGTTAACTTATTTATAAGTTATTTATCCATACACTTCTCTGAAGTCAAATGGATGCATTCCTTTCTACATAGTTGAGTTTTTAGTTTTAAAACCATCTGAAAATTGTATACACAATTACTTCTGCAACAAACCATTTGAGTAATATTGTTCTGAAGGAGCTTGGAAAGTTCTTATCTGGTCCCTGCAGCTGATTATTTTGCACCAATGATTCTTAACCACGGTGCCGCAGTACCCTGGGGTGCTTTCAAGGGTGCCACACAATGCTACTACTGTTAGGTGTACAAACATGATTCACAAGATAAACCCTAACCTTTCAAATACAAATTCATATAATTAAAAACATTCTGATCTGTCAATCTTTCTGAGGTGTCTGCAACAGAAAAATTGCTCTACTATTTTTCTGTAGTCAGAAACTGAACGAAAACTAAGAGCTGGCATTTTCCACGGGATGTCTCAAGACTAAGGAGTGCCTCAATTCTAGAAATGTTGAGAACCACTATTTTACAGTTTCAGAACAAATCTGTTATACAATTCTTAAAAAAAGTTTTGTTGTTGTTGTTGTTTTGTTTTTTTTTAACAGTTTGCCTCAAGGACCTCTCATCGTGCTAAGACCACAGCATTCCATTATTCCTTGATTACTCCAGTTTGCCACCTACTAGTTTTAGCCCAAATATTGGGCCATTTTGAGTAGAGGTGCAATTCAGAGTAATTAATGCAACTTAACTTAATTTTGCATTACCTACCATTGCTATATTCTTTTGCAGTTACTGTTGTAACTAAATGTGTGGGCATCTCAAGTACAGAGACAGTTGTGCCTGTGTGTGTCCATGTTCCCACAGCAGTAGCTTACACTCTCCTCAGAGAGAACTGACCGCCCCAGCAGCACCACATGCCAAGCCCTGCGGTGACTAAGCTTCCTGTGGCAGCAGCCAGCACCCTTGACAAGTTAGGGTGCTAGCAATCTGAGCAGCACCATGGTCAGAAACTCCACGCCTATAGCCAAAGTGGTTGGGCTGCTGGCAGCAGCCAAAAACACCATGGTCAGATGCTCTATTATGGTGGCAAGAGCCCCAGCTACAGCCAGACCCTTGTTTTTTTCAGGGGCATGTGCAGCTCCACCAGACCTTGGGCAGAAGCTCCTCTGCTATGAACAGAGCCAGGGCTCTCGCCACCATGGCAGGGCTTCTTACATAGGCAGCCACTGGCAACCAAAGCAGTACTGCAGGTCTCTATTGTGGCAGCCTGTATGCCAGCGAGAGCTGGGGTGCTGGCAGCCCCAGTGGCACCACAGGCAAACCCTACCACTGCAGGTACAGCCAGGCCTCTGGCAAGGTAGTGAGTAGGATCCGGGTTTTCCGTTTCCCACGGAAAAACAGAGTAAATCACAGATTTTGCCTTTTACCAGAGGCAAATGCAGATGTCTTGTTTTATCACAGAAACCCATGGATTTAGCAATTTTGCAATGACAGGAAGTGGGAAGAAGGTGGTGAGACAGGGGCACCACATTCATGTACAGTACATGGCCCCAGGCAGCCTGCAGAGCAGCTCCAGCAGGTAAGTGGGGGGGCGGGGGTGGAGAAAGAGGGGGACTGAGGCCCCTGTAGGGAGGCAGGGAGCTGGGCAGGGTTGGGGCTGCTGCCCAGCCAGGTAATGTTTGGGGTCTGGGGCTGCAATGTGTGGCTGCAGGGCCCCAGCAAGGAGCAGGACCAGGCCACAGGTGGCACATCCAGGGGAGGGAGAGGGTCAGCTTTCCACTGCCACGTGCACTCCCAGGGGGCAGGGGGGACCTGTGCCCCCCACATCTGTACACAGGGCAGGCTCAAGCTGCAGACTCCCACCCTGCTTCCCTCCCCCAGATCCTCAGCAGCCCAGTGGGCATGACTCAGGATAGCAGCGAACAGCCGGGCCGCACGCAGATCTCCTCACCACTGCGAGCTCCATGCTGCCTGGCGATGTGCATCCTGGGCGTGTCACTGCTTTGTGAAGCTCAGCTCCATGCACAAGAGGCATGTCACCAGGGGAGCACAGAGATTGCAGCAGAGAGCAGGTTCTCCACGCAGCTCCCCAGCTCCCTGCCACACCAGGCTGTAGAGGCCCCTAGGGAGGACAGCAGGGAACTACAGGTTCACACAGAGAAACTGCTTGCCTCTGCAAGCTCCACCCTGCTTCCCTCCTGCAAAGCCTCCACAACCCAGCAGGCGCAACTTGGCATAGAGCAAAGGAGCTGTGCAGACAAGCTGCTCGTTGCTGCAAACTCCGCTCTGCCCTGGTGACATGCCCCCTGCACGCAGGGCTGAGCCCTTCACGCAGGAGGCATGTCATCAGGGCAGCGTGGTGCTCACAGCAGCAAGGAGATCCCTGCGTGGCCCAGCCATTCCCTGCTGTGCCAGGTTTTGCCCACTCAGCTGTGGAGGTCCTGGTGGAGGGAAGCAGGGTGGGAGCCCAAGCCACTGCCTGCACCTGCCCTGCATACAGAGCTGGGGGGCACAGGTCCCCCTGGCCCCCCAGGAGTGCATCCAGTGGTGGGGAGCCACCCCACGCAAGTCCACAGTGGGGGGGTAGGGGGCTGCGGATCTGGGTCTGTAGTCCTGGCAAGTATGCAGATGACACAGTAATTGCATTAGTCATCTTCCACACTATTTGTTTGGCTCCTCAGAGTTTAAATTGAAACTGAACAAGCTTATTAGTTAAAATGGTCTTTGAGGCTACTAGAATCTACTTGTGTTCTAGAAGCTGTTTTCTAAAATGCCTAAATATGATGTCAAAATATGCCAGACAGATATCTGGTTCAGAGACATGAACAGGACTCACCTCAAAGTGGTCAGGTTTAAACTCAAAGTTGCCCTGTATTTCAGACCCACTCAAACTTTTTGGTGCAACTGCTTCAGTTTAAGTACAGGCTCAAAGCTAGACCTGAGTTAGGACAGAGTATGCTCCAAAGTTTGTTAAACCTCTCTCAATTATACAATAAAAAAGGTAATCCCTTGCCTTGCAGCTCAAAATGATGCTGTCCATATTCCCATCTTGAACCCTTTTTCCCAGTCTAAACAAAGCCTAAGTTGGCTAAGCCTCAAATCCACAATACACCAGCTTTTTTTCATTCCAGCTAATATTTACTATCCTGTTTATGATCAAATTTGGATGCATCCGAGAGATCCTAAATCCTCTAGCTTGGAAATCTTAAAAATGTTTATACAAGGAACATTACACTGACCCAGAACCCAAAACAGATAGGTCAAATGCGGTCTACACAGCAGGTATAAACATGATCATAATTTCATTTTAATAAGCCACATTCCAATTAAGGAACCTTTCTGCTGTTAGTATTCTCCCACAAAGAAGAAACTGCAAACCATCAGATCACGTAGCTAATTTAACTCTTGGTATCTGCAAAATACTGTCCTGACCAAAAATGTCAGATGTGCTGCAAATATGTCATGAAATCCAAACCACCAATGCTTTCTGCCTTTTCCAGTCCCTTCAGCAGCAAAAATGATGCTAATCAACTCCAGCAGCAAGTCCACTGCTTTTGTGTTTAGCAGACAGATACATGCCCAGTGGCAATCAAACCATGCAGGAAGAGCTCAAGATTCTGCCTGTACTTTAAAACCTAAGACTTTCTGAACATGCTCATTAGAAGCACAAATTGCAAATTAGAGAAGAAGGACATTGGGGTGGTGGCACTTATGAGAGTATAAAGGAGATGAAACCATCTAAAGGTAAATAGAGGGGAATAAGTGCTGTATTCATGAGATCTTGAACTCTGTCCAGATTTGCCCAATATAAATAGCTACCAACAAAATACTTCTTAAATAGTGAAGGAGTAAAAGTTATTGAGCCTCAGCAAAACCAGAACCCAATGCCATTGCCACCTTAAGGAAAGGAAAGGAAAACAAAATTACATGCTCTAGAGCAGCAGTCAGCCATCTAAGCCCATAGTCATTTTATCTGGCCCACACAGCTAGGGGGTTTCTAAAGCATTTTTTTTTTTGGAGGGGGGGGGCTTTGAAGGGGATGTTTTACCCATGTTGAGAAGCTGCAGCAGTACTGCATGGGGGATACAGGGGGAGTGAGAGTGTAGCGGCAGGCAGGTTGGAAGTGGACTGCCTCTCTGCATAAAAAACATTGCCAACCCATTCTTGAGGCTAGATCTAAGGCTCAGCAAAAAACCTTTACAGTTTCCACCTGTTGCTTCTCTAAAAGTAGCATTTAAGTACTTTGAGCTGTAAAGAGGTAGTATTCCTAAGAGTTAAAATCTATTTAAAAACAAACAAAAGCAAAACAGAACTTGAAAAGTAAATTCAAGTGATTGAAATAACAGACTGCTGAACAGCCTCCCATGTTATTACAACTGTGACTGGATCTCAGCCAAATCACCAACAGCATACTCTGGAATTACAAAAGCAGTCAGTAGTTTAAAAACTCTAATGGGCTGATCTAAACAGTCGCACTATTTTTCCAATGTCAGTTCAGTCAGTCTGATGGGAAACAGACTTCCCCTGCCCCTCCTCCTCTCTTTACTCAAGTCTTACCAATTCTAGCAGCTCTAGATTTTATGTCTGATTATGAAACAGATTGCACTGTGTTCTGTTGAGAAAACACAGCACCCAAAGTAACAACCACCATTTCCTGTAAGCATCATGAAAGTGCTTGACAGGGAGGAAAAAACCCCCAACAAAACAAAACAAAAAAAAATCACAATAAAGTTACTACAGCTCCTATGAGCAGCTTTTTTTTTAAAGAATTTCTTCATTAGGAAATGAAGAAAAAATATCTTACGTACCTTCTGAAAGAATGGCCTCTCTCAAATATAGTAGCACATCTGCAAATTTTCTCACATCGTTTACCAGTTGCATGATGTACTCTGGATCCACAATAGGACTGTCATAGCAGTCAGAGTTGGAGCTAATGCTGCTCAGAGAACTGCTCTTGGTGCTGCGCCCCATTCCCCAGTTTCCTGAATTAGAGATGGTGAAGAAGCTGGAGGTAGATAGTCGGGCTAATCCCAAACCACGCTTGTTACTTCCACCGTTCTGTCGCAACATCCCAGCTGATACAGTGCCTCTGAAATGTTTGCAGTTAACAGTTAACTTTGCTTAATGCCCATCTGACAAGCCAAAGATGAAGCCCTTAAAATTAAGAGGGAGAGAAAAAAGAGGAATACATTTAGTGGAAACAGAAAAACAAGAAAATAAACAAATATTTATGAAATATACAAACTTCTGTACTAACAATCCCAAAGGGGGACGATGACTTTCTAGTACTAAATATTTGGATATTAAAATATGTAATGGAGTTATATTTTAAAATCTTTTATTTACTTGAAGTTAACTTGGGTTGTAAGGCAGATATCCAAAGACAGAACCCCCAAATAGCCAATGATGGTTTTAATCAGTAAATAAATCACCACAAAAAATCAGTAATTAATTTTTCCCCACCCAAATATAACTTTTATAACTTATTCCAGATCACTTGCTTCCTGGTTAGTTTCCTTCTGAAATCCTAACACTCATCTTTGTAATGCAGACTGAGGTCTGTTTTGCACTGTAAATTTTATCAAAACTGAACACGGTTGCTAGAAGTTATATAAAAATTACCAAGAAACTACTTTTCCTGTTCAGTGCTCTGCCCAACCTCAGTCACCAAGTGATGTTGAGCATCCTGTCAGCTGGTAAAATCAGAGGCCACTACATTCAGTGATGCTAAACTTTCATAACATAAACCAGGTTTAGCGTTCTTTGACTTACTAATGTTTGCTGGAAAAAAGAAATGCGTTCTGAAAAAGATGAACATTCAACAGCTACGTGAAATGTTAAAACCAACTACATTTTTAAGAGATAACTTGGTAAAACAGAAGATGAAGAGGCTAATGATTTTTCAAAAGGCAACTTCTCTAATATCAGATGTAATCTGTAAGATTTCAGTTAAGTTGATTTTATTTATCAGTTGAAGGGTTTTATTTTATTTTAAAACTTTAGCACAGTTACAAATTTTACACAGAAGGAAAGTTCATACTTTGAAGCAAGCATGTTGATAGAACTAAGCAATCGTCTGCATCCATTTAAGAAAAAAGAGCTATGGCTACTTCATTATGCCAAGTGAAGTAATTCATTTCACAGCATCAAGCTCCAGGTGGCAAAGTCAGGTACAGCTCCAGCAACTGATCACAATGCCCACTATTGCCTGCCCCTAGTTTAGCGGGCAATTATTTTGGGCGGATGGCCACTTACTGAGTTTTGGCAAGCCATCGAGGACTGCATGACAGGCAGCCCAGGGCAGATTAATATTAATTTTCTAATTTTTTTAGGGGCCCCACGGGCCAGATAGAATGGCTTGGCGGGCCACATCTGGCCTGCGGGCCACGTTTTGCCCAGCCCTGCCCTAAACACTGAAAGGAGAAAATACTATGTTTACACTATGTTTAGCTTTATCAAAGAAAGCTATTGTACATTGCAACACACTGGTTAAGAATTGGATTGCTGAGGTGTTTGCATGTAGGCGATGAAGTAAATTTAAACCATGCATGTTACACAAAGGCAGATTAAACTGCAGATAGTAGCCACAGTATAGCATCGCACTCATATCTGCATCAGTTCAAGCTGAAGAAGCCACGTTTCGAAGCCAAATCACATCTCCTGAATTCTCCCGCTGTGCAATGTGATGAGTAGCACTTTTATGAAATTCAATTATTTTTCTCCCTTTTTAAAAAAAAAAAATTCAACTGCACAACTACAGGCAAAGAAACAGCCTCTGACCAAAGCCAGTGGTATGCAAAGTTTACATTTAACGAAGTGTTGAGCAAAACCTTTGTGCAACCTCCTTCACTCTAATGACCAGAAAGCTACTTCGCAACCCTGCCTGTTGCAGAGCCCCTTCCTTATTTTAAGGAGCGTGGGACCTGCTACTCCTGGGACTCGAGCAACATTTTCATATTCACTGAAGAGAAAGCCATTGCTTTTAAGTCCAAAGAATTTCAAAACCAGAAGAGAAGCAGCAGCATGGGATCTGGTCCCCCCACAGGTGCATGCTTTGTCAGTGCCATCACCTTTCCAAGCTCCTTTCAGAGCTATTTTGCAGAAGTTTCTCCTCTGCTGCTGCGTGCAAACCCCGGCAGAAGGGCAGAGCCAGTGCCAGGGAGGGGAAGCGGCAGGGGGCGGGGAGAGAAAGGTTCAGACAGAAAGGGGAGAGCCGGCGGCGGGGGAGCCCGAGCCCGCCCCGCGGAGCGGGAGGGAAGGGCCAGGAGCCTCGGGCCCCCCGACACGTGCTGTCCACTACTGAGAAAGTGTCTCGTGTTCCTCCCAGGGCCGCCCCGCCCCGCCCCGCCCCGC